CCTTCAGGCACAAGGAGGGCTGCCAGCAGGCGCAGAGAAAAATTTCCTATCCCTTTAGTAGAGACTTAATGAGATTTTACTTACCTCCATGGTATGAAAAACTCAAGCTGCCCATTTCCACACAGTAATCCTCTATTAAAGGGACATTTTTCTCCGGTCCTATTGGCAAGCCTTTAGCGCAAGGGTCTCAGTGAATGTACACCTGACATCTGTGTATCATATGTATATCATAAATCCGTCAATAGAAATAAAGTTGCCTTTTGTGGAGTGATATTTCTTTGTCTTAGTTTTTTTCCCTTGTGGCTGGGGGTGGGCATTCACTACTGCCCGCTTGGTGGGCAGTAGGGAATTAAAGGTGAAGAGCCACTGGGCTACACTTGATGGTTCCTGGTCCATATTATTAAACTCTGTGTCTGCTGTAATTGGGTCTGCATGTGGGGGAGTCTACGAGGTGCAGTCCAGAACAAGGGCACTAACATGCCTCAAGAAAACATCCTGTCCCTTTTAATAGAAGTTCAATATGTGGAAATGCACAGCTGAAGATTTTTATGACATGGAGCGGAGGTGAATAAGCTTACCTGGTATTTGCTGCAGATCAGACTGATATTAAAAGAACAGGATTTTTCTCTCTCTCCAGGCAGTTGCCAACCTTAGTCCAGAATGAGCCCAGAGAACCAGAAGGCAGAGTCTAGCAATGGAACCTCATATATTTTGGTACATTCAGAGGCATTTATTTATTAAAATACTTATATCCAGCCTTTCCTCATAGTTCCAGGCAGTTTACAAGTCATACATTTATATATTTTCTTGCTTCTAAGACAGGGTACATAAGGTTCTTAGGAGGTCTTCCACTAAAGGACTTACCAGGCTTCTCCCAGTTTAGTTTGATAAAGATTACTATGGCCCCGGCCAGACGTGCCGGAAAACGTGGGGGGGAAGCACGGCAATTTGCGCCGTCGCATTCTGATGCGCTATTATGCGATCAGACGCGACGGCGGCTTCCCTGCCGCAAAGAGGACGACGGGGGAGGAAGCCACACGCCGGCGCGATCACACCGGGAGGCTTCCATAGGCAGCCCGTGGCAAAGCGTTTGCTAGTACATGTGGTGTGCTAGTTTTTTTTACTGCGCGACTTCGGTGGCTTCCCACGGGTTTACCACGGGAGTGCTACGCCTCCCAGATGTTCCTGTGTGATTGCGCCCGGATACTCCACGGGACTCCCGTGCCTTCAGCGGGGCAAATGCTCCATGTGACCGGGGCCTATAATTACTATGGTTTGAGCTTTCAGGGCATAACCTTGCCCAGTACAATTGTTGTTGATTCAACTAAGATGCACATCTAAAAACAGATGAGGTAGTAGTGAATGTCCTTACCAAATAAAAGCAAACAGACATGCATTCGAGGTTACATTATCTGGAAATGCAGATCAGACACAAACTGGATTATGGAAATCTGGTTCAAACCCTTAAAAAAGAATTTAAAAGATGGTCTCCAGTAAAATTGTCATGGAGACTGTGATAGTTACTTTCTAAATTGTTGTACCAGTTTGTGGTTACACCTGGAAGGAGGGGGGGGGAAATGTTAATGGAATTTGTATGGCCTAGGAAAACAAGCTCCAGTAGAAATATAACATTTGAAAATGCCAATTGTGACAGGCATTTTCCGTACAAACCTTTTAAAATGTTGCAAAGCCATACAACACCATTGGTTAAGTCCAGGGGCAGTCTTAACCAATAGGCCCTATGGTGTTTGGGGGTTCGCAACCCCCCACAACCCTGCATCCCTCCCTCCAACAAACAGCAGGCTCCCACAACTAAAAACAGATGAGGTAGTAGTGAATGTCCTTACCAAATAAAAGCAAACAGACATGCATTCGAGGTTACATTATCTGGAAATGCAGATCAGACACAAACTGGATTATGGAAATCTGGTTCAAACCCTTAAAAAAGAATTTAAAAGATGGTCTCCAGTAAAATTGTCATGGAGACTGTGATAGTTACTTTCTAAATTGTTGTACCAGTTTGTGGTTACACCTGGAAGGAGGGTGGGGGGAAATGTTAATGGAATTTGTATGGCCTAGGAAAACAAACTCCAGTAGAAATATAACACTTGAAAATGCCAGGTGTGACAGGCATTTTCCATACAAACCTTTTAAAATGTTGCGAAGCCATACAACACCATTGGTTAAGTCCAGGGGCAGTCTTAACCAATAGGCCCTATGGTGTTTGGGGGTTCGCAAACCCCCACAACCCTGCATCCCTCCCTCCAACAAACAGCAGGCTCCCACAACTCCCCATCTGGAGCTTGGGCAGCCAGCTTCTGGCAGCAGTGGTGGCTCCCACTGGGCCTGCATGGAGCAAGGACCACCCCTTGTTTGGCATCAGTAGAGGAAATGGTGGGGGCAGTGCTTTCACAGCCCCATCCTGGACTTTTGCCATGGACTCTCCAGCGTCACTAAGAATGCCTCTGGTTATGTGTATGAAAAAAGACTGACTGAATTTGCATCTCTACAGGGGTTTCAGTATGTGTCCCCTCCATGGTAGTAGCAGCAAGCAGCACAGAAACAGGTGGGAACAGTGTCTATGCCCTCAGTCAAGCTCTGCACATTGCTGCCATGGCCCCAACCCCTGCTCTTCCACCTTTTCCCCATAGAACCTGTGGGAAAGCATGGAGGTGTTTGTGCCAGGGCCCCCAAATCACTTTCCCCTCACTTTCCCTTTCCCTTCTGAACTGCCCTGCAATGCTACAATGAAGCTTGGCAGAGAAAGAAAAATAGTTCTTAAAAGGGCTAAAGAGAGAGGATGCCATTTTTGAGAGTGGCGCTTAGCTGTGCTCCCTTCTTTCTGTAGTGGAGACAGAGGGAATGCCCCAGTGGACATTCCTCTGCCACTACTACAAAGGTTTCTCTTTTCTTTTCCTTAGGATTAAAGAAGAAAGCCCTGGGAATGCCACAATGAGCACAACTTCATTAGAATTTCTTCTTTAATACGGTGGCCTCTTGCTTTCCATACTGAAAGCTGTTAATTTTGTGCAAATGAATAAACTAGCTAATATGATCTGATTTGGATATAGACAATTTGCCTCTTTCTCCCCCTTCAGAAATAATCTTTGTTTATTGATTATCAGAATATTTACCATAACAAAAGACTGGAATATTTTGTTTTAGAAAATAAGGATGACACACATCCCCTCCAATTCTGCTATCTCTTTCATTGCTTGGACTTTGGGCTTCACTTTGTAACTTTCCCCCCTTTATATACGTATATTTTCTAAACAGAGTTCTGTCTAGGGTTGCCAAATGACCCCGGGGGGTGGGGAATCCCCCGCTTCGGAGCCCCGAGTTCCGCCCCGGCGGAATCGGGGCCCGGGGGAACCCCGCCCCCGGAATTACCAGTCCATACATGTTGGTAGTGGTTTTCCCCCCTGACGAGCTCGGCCACGCCCCCAACGGCAGCAATGTCTGACGTAACTTCCGGTGATGTTGCGGCGGCGTGCGCGTGCTTTGCACACACACGCACACAGCCGGCTTCCAACCACGACGGAGCCTCCCCCGCCGGTAAGGTTTCAGGATTTGGCAACCCTAGTTCTGTCCTCCTAAATCAATTGAAGTTAATTGTCTTAGAAGGGTGTAGCTGCCAGGACTGCACTTATTTACCTGCTCAACAGGCCATGTGCGTCTCACTGAGGGGACTCTGGACCATGAGACCATATATTTGTCACTCTTAATTCACCACAGGATCATTTGGGATTACACTTAACTAATACAGCTAGCTCTCCTCCGTTTATGAGGGATATTTAAATTTCAAAATTGTTCAGGTTCAGAAAGATCTTTCTTTTTATCATTCTTAAGTCATCTAATATAAAATAATAGTTTGCATTAGAAAAATGTCTGGAAAATTCTGCTTCTCAGATAAATAGATTTATTAATATTTATTCTTTTACAAAAGCCAATGTGTTGTCATCATGCCATGCAATCTCAGTTGTTCCTGTTACAAAGCATAATATCAGTGCAAAAAGAAAAACAATCACTAGAAAATACCTTGGTAAATATTAACAACTCCAGGTGGTAAAAAACTTAATTATGTTCATTAAAATTTTTGAAAATGCTTTTCATTTTTTGAAATAAAAATTATCTTCTCAGATATAAAATCTATAGTTTTGGTACTACACAGATCCAAGTTCTTGGTTTTTATCATTTTTGAAATATGATAACAATACAAACATCATGTTTAAATTGGAACAGGGTGTTTTCTCTCATCTGTAAATTATTGCCTGAAATATACTGAAAAAGGAGATACAAAAAGTATTTCAAAAATCTTAATGGTGGCATTTAAAGTATGAATTTATGAAAAAAATTCCCATTTCAAAATTCATCCAAGTATTTAAAAAGTGAAATGGTTTTCCCATCAAAGTTTAATTCTGTTACAACTTTCAACCCATTTCTATTAGCAGCCTTGGATAAATGCAGTCTTCACTGACATAGTACAAATTGCCATAATGGGAGTAAGATCAGAAAACAATCTTTTCATGTTAGAGAAATAATACAGTACAAGTGTAACATTAAGGGATTCTGTCTGTTTTGATGCATCTTTATAGGAATCTGTAGAACAGCCATGATTTTGTATAATTTACTGCATTATATAGATTTGTCTAATTATTAGCTACATATACAGTTTGAAAGAGTTCTATAATTTCAAATCACACAACATGAAATTATGTTTGAATGTTGAAACTTGTACAGTGTATACAATTGTACAATAGAAGTAAATATTCATTCTATATACTATTTGAATTTGTTTGTTTAAGTCACAATTCGGTTATTGAAATGGTACATTTCAGTGATTTCTATGGATGCCATCATAGTACATGAATACTATAAAGAAACACAATTTCTGCTATGCTGCTATAATATCCCTCATTTACACAGATATAAAAATACAGTTGAATAAACTGAGAACAACTAATTGGTGTGTGTGGGTGGGTGTGGGTGTGGGGGTGTGTGTGTGTGTGTGAGAGAGAGAGAGAGAGAGAGAGAGAGAGAGAGAGAGAGAGAGAGATCCTTAATCCTCGAAGAAGTAAATAGTGGATTACCCTTTCCTCCGTAGAATTATTCATACAAATTCATACACCCCATAAACAAAGATTGCATACATAGATCTAGTGTTTTAATATAATTTGCCTCACAATCTTTTTTTCCTCTAGAGATTAGATTGATTTAATAATCTCTCCTGTTTCATCACCCAGAGTTTCTGACTTCAGCAGCACAGATCCTGATGGAGATAGTATTCATTGTGAGTGTGGATTTGAAGACCATGAACTTCAACAGAGATTCTACTGATACGGAGTTCTCACCATCCTGTTATTGAGAGGTTGAAGAGGCCGCCAGTTGTCCACCAAAGGGCAGTGGGGTTCATCTGCAGGCTTACTAGAAAGGCTACGAAACTTTTCCATCTGCAGAGAAGTAAAATGGATGTATTGCCAAGGTCAAATCCATAGCCTGGCTAAAACTGGCAATGAGATGACTGGACACTGAGCAGCCATGAGTAACAAATCTCCTCAGAAAACTGTCATAGCCACTGCGTGGACATACTGCAACCCTTTTGTGGTTCTTTCTTACAATCACACTCTACTGAATTTGTTTGCTAACAGTCTCCTCACCCACACAGAGATTATTGGTGATTCACTCATGACTCTCCCCCAGGGGCATCATTTCTGAGAGGCATAGCAGGCTGTCACAGAGGGTACAAGAGAGGGGCTTCTTCTGAGACTCCTAAAACTACTTTCAGGAATAAATTCCATTGAACCTACTAAGGCTTGTCTCAGAAGTGGGCTGGAAATATTGACAGGACCACATAGCAATAATTGATTCTGTATCCATGTTGAATTCATTTGTCGGTCTATGAACAGTAATACTTTCTAATTTTTGCACTTTTTTGCCATTCAACTCGCAGTCAACTTATGACAAACCCATAGAGATGGTTTGCCATTGCCTGCCTCTAGATAGCAGCCCTGGACTTCTATGGTAGCCTCCCATCCAAGTACTAACCAGGGTTGACTCGGCTTAGCCTCTGAGATCTGAGAAGCCTGGGCTATCCAGGTCAGGGTATTACTTGCACTGCAAATGTTAAATATTTCTTAGCCATTTTCACTACAGCAAATTTTTAAAAATCAGGTAGTCTTTTGATGGAAAACATTTTAGAGAAAAATTAAGCTGTGATTACTATTTGGTAAGTGAGGGTCTTTTTTTTAGGGATTTCTCAAAATACTCCTCCAAACATTCTCTGACATTAACTCCTGTGAGAATCTAGAAATGAGTACTGACAGTGAGTGCAATGCTCCGCCGAAACTCAAATATGACATGGAATCTTTTATAACTCAGGTAAGTCAGGTAAAAACCAAAGGGCTGGGGGTGGGCTCATTCTAGATCCGGGGAAAACATAAACCCTATGTACCACCATTGAGCTGGATCCCAATAAAGCCCAAGGCAGAGCCATGTTCTTTATCTCCTTATATACTTCATCTACTGCCTGCTGGTGAAGGCTGCAGCTCAAGCCACTCATTCAATTCCTGTTAACATAGATCTTTGACATGCATTAAGAAAACTTCATTTATTTCTCTGGTCAGATATGGAAATGCAGGACTGAACTGAAACTTGGAATATTCTTCAATCCTTGTTTGGAATCCTGTTTCTTCCATAAAAAATACCCCAAATTTCATCAACATTGAATCATGGATGAAATTTCTGAAGAAGAGACCATGGCTATCAACAAAATGTACGTAGCTCATTTGAGATAGATACACGGAAACCAAGATGGCTGTGTTAATTTCTAGGATTTACCTGTTCCTCGCTAACGACGATAGGTTCTTTCAGAATAATCCAGGTAACACACTCTTCACAAGAAGGTGTCGTGAAAGAGCCTTGGTAGGTCCAATAGCTCCGGTTTTTAGGGAAAAGAATTGATGGATCAAAGTTTTGAAAAGGAGCCTCTTTTCCCTTAAGAAAATTAAAGAAAAAAAATAATTGTTACAGCCTGTTGAAGGAAGAAGTTGGGTACCATCAATACCACCGTCACCTCTGGGAGCTGTTTTAAATCAGAGCACTCTCTCTCTCTGTCTCACTCTCTCTCAGCAACAGTATGACATCATTTCCTGGGGAACCTTGGAAGTGATATCACACCTCTCTAATAAACACTGAAAACTCTATAGAGTTTCTGTAGATTCCTAAAGAGGGTTGACTTCATTTCCATGTTTTCCCCAGAACTGATGTCATGCCACCACCAACAATGATTTTTAAAAATTATTTTTCTTTTGCTGGCTGTGGTGGCAGAAAACAGGAGCTGGGAGTGAGGGATCCCAGCAGGGGATAGGCACATCTAATCTGTGCCAGTTCTATAGGTAGAAGTGAAACTTCATTCGGCAAAACTTGTGTACAGAGTCTATGTACACACATACACACACACATATATATTTGATTTCGAAACCGCCATCCTCCATACTTGGGGCCCAAGGTGGTGTACAACATTCAAGAATACAATAATCAGTTAAATAAGTAAAAAACAATAAAAACAAGTACAGTAACATTCCAGATGGCATCTAAAACCGCATTATCCTCACCCCAAGGAAAGTGAACAGAAGGAAGGCCAGGCTAATAAAAACCATTGCTATCCTCAACCATAAAATCAGTTCTCCTGCATTTGCCAGATTACTAATTTCACAATGTTTATGGCATACAGTTTGTAGGCCTTAACATCTGCTCACAAGTTATCACAAGCACATAGGTAGAGGAGGGGCTGGGGCCAGCACTACATGTGATCCCCCACACACATACACCCCTGTTCTCTCTCCCTTCCTCTTATATAACCTGTGAACAGTCTTCCAGTCTCTGATTATAAACACTCCCCTCTAGGGTTCCCAAATGTGCCTGGGGGGCGGGGAACCCCCCGCTTCGGAGCCCCCGA